TTATTATTATTATTATTTTAAAAGTTTTAAATTATTAGCAGTATTTCCTTGAGAATATTCTCTTACCTCGCCCTGTTTTAGCACATTTATTGCTATTGTTAATATTTTTCCAACACAGTCTAGTGTGATATTTGTGTGTGTGCATTTGATTTTGTCATATTTTTGATCATTTAAAGCTGTTTTATTTGATTCAGAATGTTTAAAATGTGAACATATATATATATATATATATATATATATATACATGTAGAATTTCTTTTATTTGAGCTGGTTTATTACAGGCTCTTTTTCAAAAATATTATTATTTTATTTTGATTTGTTCACTTATAGACCCACTAGTGGGATGGTTGCTGTCTTAAGTTATAAAGTAAAATGATGATGCCTTTATTTATTTATTTATTTTTTTACACAACAAAATGAACTGAGTGATGAGCTGAAATTCAGATGGAAACACTGTGTAGCAGTGATTTAGAAAAAGAAGAAAAATTAATTGTCAGTGTTAAAAACAGTGAAATAATCCACAGCTCACCCATTTACAGATCCTGCCGTGTAAACGTGAGCGTGCTGGGGTGACACGGGGACCAGTGGACGACCAGCAGGGCTCCCAGTATGAAAGGAAAAGTGGGATTGGAGCAGTGACGTGATCCGCTGGAAAGAAGGAGGGAGGAAGAGGGACGGCTGGACTCCATTAAGCCGCAGCCTGCAGGAAAACTGTTTGGGATACTTCACTTCTCCTGCGACTTCTCCGGCGGATTTCTCCCCGTTTCTACCGCCTCGAACACACTTTCTACATGATTTAAAGAAGGGGGAGCTGCTCTGTACCGTGTAGTCGACCGTTTTAGTGGGTTTTTCTCTCCTCTCTGGTCTTTGTGAAGGTGAGTGATTTAAATGTTCGTCCTCAGAGCTTTTTGTCGCCGCTATGAAACACGAACGCGCTTCTTTTTCTTCTCGTTGCTTCTCGAACGTTAGCAGCTGTTTGTGTTTAGCTAGTTTAACAGTTTGTTGTTGTTGTTTTTAAAAATTCAAAATACACTTTTTTGTTTGTTTTTGGTGAAGTTTGTCCTCTTTAACGAGCGGCTGAGTGTGTGCCTGGAGCCGGGGAGCTGCTGTACGGACCGTGCTTACATAATGTTCCGTTATGTTTAACAGGTGAACCGGCACGTTAGCGCAGCCAGCAGCTAGCTACGGTCCCCGGTCAACTTGTAGCCGCGGGCCCGGAGCCTTTGTTCGCCTGTTTTATGGGTTGTTTTTTTGATTAGACGGTGGTTTTAATGAGCCAGGCCACTCACCAGCAGACGGACTCACATCAAAAATGACAGCTAGCGGTTTAATCTAACTTTTTTTTGGCGCAACAGGGCGAGTCTTCCTCTCGCAAGGACGAGCGCAGAGGCAGGGTGATGGGCAGAGAGTTAGATTTACCACCTTTTATCCCTTTTTTTTAGTCATTACTGAGAGTAAAATGCTCACAAATGTGCTGGGTTACCACAACTGTCTCCCATCCCACCCATAGCTACTACCTTTTTTTTTTTTTACTTGATTAAAAGTGGCAGTTCCATAATTTTCCATTTAAAACCAGCTTTGTGTCAAATGTCAATATAATCTGCATCAGAGAATCAGATTTTGGCACATTTGTTTTCATATGTTTTTGCCTGTTTTTGGTTAAGTCTCACTGATGAGCTGAGTTACCACAGCTGTCACCCATCTCAGTTACAGCTTCTGCCTGTTTTGCTTGATTAAAAGTGCCAATTCCACCATTTTCCATTCAAAATAGTCCTCAGTCAGCATTGAAACACTTGTTATAGCTCTGCATCAAGTGGCAATATAATCTGTATCCAAGCATCAGTAAAACAACTGTTGGCACATTTTTTTTTCTTGGATTTTTGCCTGTTTTTTTTAATGTTAAATCTCATTGTGTCCACTTACATCAGCTGTCACCCATCTCAATGAGCCAGTGTTGGATGAAGCAGGCTACATGATAGCTACTAGCTTTTTTGCTTGATTAAAAGTGGAAATTCCCCCCAAAAAATCCATTCAAAAATAGTCCTGAATCAGCATCAAAACACTGAAATATTCATAGATGTGTATCGAGGGTTAATATAATCTGTTTGAGAGCACCAATGGATCAAACAATGGCACATTTTTTCATTGTTTTTGCCAGTTTTTTTGTTACGTTCAGTGCTCACCATGATTTAAAAACCTCCTCACCCTGTTCAAACTCCACGCCTTCTGTGTTTAACATAGGCTTTGTGCCATAAATCTATGACATCAAGGTCACATGTTGGAAAGCACTTCCACATCAACAGATGACATTATACAACTGTTTTCTCAGGCTAGCAGCACTAGTGATGGCTAGCAAATGTACTTTGATGTTGGAAACTGCTGCCGCATTGTAGAAAAATTAGACTAACATCCCAGATGATAGACACATTTGTACCCTGTTACATTGTCTAGACCAAGTCATAATCCAAAGTCAGTAAAGTGCACACATCCTCAGAGATGTCAGCCAAGTGTCTGTGAACGCATACATTTGCTTTGTACCACATTCATTCTTTTCCAAGTGGTCGAATGGCTTCTATTCACTCCAACCAGACCCTTTCCCCTCCTGACTTTGGTTCTGTTTGGCAGGATGGCACTGGACGGGATCCGGATGCCCGATGGCTGCTATGCTGATGGGACATGGGAGCTGAAGATGCATGTCACCGACCTCCACAGGGACGTGTCGCTGAGGGTCACTGGGGAAATCCACATCGGTGGAGTCATGCTTAAACTCGTGGAGAAACTCGGTATGCATTCATGCTGTCATGCAATGTTGGAGGCACTTTTCAAAGCGGCTTGTATAAAGCGTAATGTGCAGGCTGTGCGTTGTCCTAATTGAGTAATTCTGACACACGATACATAAAACGGCAATCCGACGTGACTCTGCAGATTTGAGATGCATTCCTTTTGTAACAGAGTGCAAACAGAAAAAGCCTTTCCTTGTACCACATGAGAATTTCTCTATTTGTCAGTGCCTGACTTGTGTTATCTGTTCATATTTGTTGGGCAATAAAAATCTGTTTTTTCTGAGTAGGTACCATTCTGAGAAGTGAAATTCCACTAAGTAAACACCACTCTTCTATGCAAAAGTACAGACTGTTTCTGAACACTGGCCAGAATTAGGAACAGACTTTCTTCAATTTTTTTTTTCATGGCTGGAAGCTTAAAAGTTCCCCTTGCATTAAATCAGAGGAACTGGATCTGTTTAGAGACGAGCTTCAATACGTTATTGTTTTTGGAAATGAAAGGAATCCTTTTTGTTTGATACATTTTCTAACTGTGCAAATGATTTAATGAGTATGAAAGTTGATATTTGTTTCCTGCAACCACCTCCGACGGGGCTAAATGTTCCTCTTTGTTACCCAGCAGCATATATGGGTCAGTAACTCAAGGTATAAAGAAACCATACACAGGCTCCCTCCTCCTGCTCTATCATGCACTGTTCTGTAACTGCAGTTATGCACTTGACAAGTTTGGGTGCGAGTAAGCATAAGAGTCCTCTGTTCCAGCCACTTGAACACTGGCCTGTTTCATGGAGTCTGGAGAAAGGTCAGTGGTGGTGGCAGTGCGATTTGGGAGTGACAGTTTGTTGTGTGTTGATGGTGCTTGAATGCTCAGAATTCCAGCAGCGCTCCAAGGTTTTATTCCCTGCCCATGGTCCCGTTTTTAGCTCTCCTGTTAGAGCTCCACATAATTGAGGTCTTTGTTCTTTGTGGTCGTCTGTGCTGAGTAGCATCTATACTCGGCGACTGCAGTGTTGCTGCCGCGTGTGGGACGACGTGAATTCATTGGTCCTCCTGCCACAACTCCGCTCAAGGCCGGGCCTTATCCATTGTTTGAGTTGTGTTCATGCGTTTTGTTAATGTCTGGTTGAAGGGTATAGCTTTTCTTGATAGGACACATGGTCAGTTTGATGCATGGGGAATAGCATTATAGTTAAATTGAGTGTTTTTTTCTGTTTGTTACAGAAAAATAAGCTTCAAATTCTGTGAATTATATTACGATTTTTGGACCTCATTATTATATAATAGGAGCTGACTGGTCCTTTGTTTGCACCGTTCCTAATTTCTGTTTCTTCTTCTTTATGATGTTGCTATGTTGTTGATGAGGTTTTTATTTTTATGCACATCCACATCTGATGATAGCTGTGATTTGTTGAGATTAGCTGGTTGTTTGCTGTAAAATAACAGGACATGAGTGTAGTTGGAGGTTTTTGTCACTCTGATCGAATGAAGGTGTTGTACTTCCAGGCTTGGTTACTATTCACAAACTCATTTAAATGCCGTCCACATTGTCACGCTACTACCACCATTACTGCAGGTAATTTAGCTTAGCAAAGTATGTGTGAAGGCAATAGACCCTCTTACTTTAAAACAGAACTTGTGCAGTGGCATTAAATTGCTTTGTGAGCGTTTGAGAGTGTATTTGTGCCTTTTAACTGGTTTCACAGTGAGTGTGGGGACATTTCTCCTACCCTGAGTCAACAGGTTGTTTTACATTCATTGCAATCATTAACCCATCCACAATATGGGTTTTCCACATGGCCACACGGTGTAGGGGGACTGTACATTGTTCGGGACACACGTAATCTTTTGTTTTTGGAACAGGCAGTGTCGCTTTGTTTTTGATTGTCCAGAACATTTTCTTAACGATAATTTGGAACAGTTTAGACCAAATCAAAGAAATGGCTTTTAAAGCATGATTGAGACCTTGTAAAAACAGCTCAATTTTATGTATTGTGTTAAAGTGGTAACATACGGTCTGAGTTTAGAAGGAATAATCTGTGCAGGTTAACATGAGTTAAATTATGAGATTAAGGGCAATGATAAGGAAACTGTTCTGATTTGACATCCCTCTGTGAGTTCTGTTGGTGTTTCTGCTTCTTTGCCTCCCAGCTTTCACTAATGCACTTATCACTGAACACCTCAGAAGTGTTGTCACATAGTCACTGTTGGATTTGCTGATTGCTTGGATGTGGTGGCTAGACACAGATACTGTACACGAGCAATGCACAAGCACATATATAGCCGGTGCTGTGAGAAAGGACACGTAGATACCACAGAGTCTTGGCAAGCAGTGCTGCAGTCTCACATTGAAAGGACGTTAGGGTTCAATGACAAATCTCTCTCCTCCCCCCTTTTCTTTCTTTCAGCCTCTTACTCTCTAAAATGAAGGACTTCTTGTGATTGTTTTTTCTTGAGTGTCTTTCCACAAGACTGACAGAGCTTTTCTGTCTATTATGAACATTTGTTGCTTTATGCAGTAGTGTGCTGCAGGTGTGTATTTGCACACGCAGCATGTGTAATGTTTGTGTGAAAATGTGTTGACCTCAGCTGGCTCCCGCACGATGGGTAGAGTTCTCATTTGTAGTATTTGTGCATGTGTTTCCACACGTGAGCGTTGGTCGGTGGGTGTGTCTCATCCACATGTATCCTGCTTTCATCACTCAGCCCTCGCTGTGAGCTGCAGGTCTCCCGTCCACATCGCAGGCTCAGATGGCCTTCGATAATGGATTAAATAGACAAATGCCAGGAAGGCACTTAGGTATTGATCACAGCAGCGGACACTGCTTCCATTTCCCTGCAAACCTCCAGGAGAGCAGTATTTAAAGCCAGCTGATGAACCACCCCCCTGGTTCCTTGCTCTTGTAATCCTTTCATCCTGCTTTCTATCATTTGTGCTTTCTCCGACTTTGTTGATGTTTTCCAAAAGCACTGCACTCCTCTCTAAAAGCTAATATTGAGCCATTTAGGAGGGGAAAACAAATATTGTACAAACAACATTAGCTGACAAGGGTTTTATTAGATTTAAAGGGATGGCTCCCGTGTTACGTAGCATTTAGGGCTGGAAAAACTGTGGCTTACTGTAAGTGCCTCAGCTATTAATGTTTCACACAAATGCATTGCCACTTCGCACACGATAAAGGTGGAGGGGCGAGTGGATAAGAACGGTGAATTTCCGCTAACTTTACAAACCACAGAGTCGTGGAATGTGTAGCATATGCCGCCGACGTACATGATGGGCGAGAATGTTGTTGCACTTGCATTCCTGGTTGTCTTGGCTCTGGTTAGTCTCACAAAAAACAGCTGAGGGTAGAAGGATTGGAAGGGGAAGAAAGGGAGAGGGAGATGTGTGGAGAAAAGAGGGATCTGAACGTTCTCTTCTCCTGCCGTCTCTCTTTCTCGTTGTGACGTTAGCCACGCTGCTAGAATTCCATAAAAGTCTTCGATGAAGCAGGAAATGACTTCCCAGGTTTGGCATGCTGCTCTCTGGTCGCTGCCGTCATCGCTGGAGTCTCTGCTGCCTGCCTCATCTACGTCCCTCCCTCTCTCTCTGTCAACCCTGTTTCGTTCTGTTTTCGCCCACCCCTCTCATCCCTCACATCATCTAAATATATTTAGTAGGAAATGTTTTCATTGTTTTGTCTGACTTTTTAAAGCCCAGGCAGCCACGTCTTAATACTTGACCAAATTTGCTCCTCGCAGCAAGGCTTAATAATCAATCAGGACACAGCGAAACACACTTTGTTCGCGCTCTCTCAGTTTCTTACCAAAGTTCATGCACACTGACCGTCCGGTGTTCCAAAAATAGAACTTGAGCAAACTAATTGGTCAAGTGTGACTCTGTTAGTTCATGTGGTTGTTTCCAGTGAGGGGCCTTCAGTTTTTGGCTGCTGTACTTAGCAGCCCACCACAGAGAACTTTCCCTGCATGTCAGAGAAAATGTGTGTTTTGTATTTGTGATGACCTACATATTCACATCGCAATTCATCATCCCACATTCATTTCAGTTTTGTTGGAGGAGCTCATGCAGGAAAAGCGTTTGGAGTTATTTTTCAGAGGCACCTCTATTAGGAATTGTACAACAAAACGTCAGCCAACAGCTTTGGTTTGTAAGATATCACTTCACTTTGTCAGCTATTTAGATTCGTTGTGGTCTTTTTGTGATGCCAACATTCTGTCTGCTGGAGGTTGTGGTGACCAAAGGAAGATGGTTTGACAATGGAGCGCAGGTTTCATTAGGAAACAGACGCTATTTAACACAGGATGCTGAACTTCCTCTGAGCTTTTTTTATGCACCTTCTCTCTTCTGTCTCTCTTGGGTTCTTGCCTTTCTAGTGTTTGTGGAATTTTGTTGGCGTGGGGGAAAGATGAGTGATCGTCATATCTTTCTTGAGGATGTGAGAGCTGCAAACAAATGTTTTACTGTCATTGTTGTACACTAGGAGATCTCTGATGGGTGTCTTTCCATCACCCCCTTTTCGTTTGTCACTATGTGTAATGAGACGTATTGATTTTGACTGTGCAGCCGTGTTAAAGGTTTGGCAGTATGAAGTGAGAAATGGCCTGGCAGCGTGTGCGATCATCTTGCTGTCTAATCTCTCTGACAGGAAGTAGTTAGCCTAAGTGGTGGTCCTGCCCATGCCAGAGCTTTCCTGTTTCACTAGCAAGATGCTGCTGTGATTGTGCTTTTCTGCACTCAGACTTTCAGATGTGATCATATATAGAGCAATGGCCTGCGTGAGTGCATGCGTACTCAGTGTTTTCCATATATAGACCGTTTTGGCAGCTCACTTAGATCTGTTCTAGATCTGTTTTTCTTCTTTTTCATGTTCAGTTTGGCATATGGCTGAAGCTATAATGAATTAGGAGTGAGCCAGAATGTCTTGTGTGCTCACTCAGCGCTGAACCTACCAGTTTAATGATAGTAATTAATTAATCAACACAACAACTATTTTGATAATGAA